CGCCATCTCCACCGAAGGCCCCAGTGGCGGCGCTCACATGCGCATGCGTCCCGCACACCCATTTCGGCACATCCCTCACAGGTTTCGTGGCCCCATCATCCACTGGAGGCCCCAGTGGCGGCGCTCACATGCGTCACCCACACCCACCCAATTCGGCACACCCCTCACACGTTTCGTGGCCCCATAGGGAGCTCCACCGAAGGCCCCAGCGGCCGCGCTCACATGCGTCCCCGCCACCCATCCCGGCAAACCCCTCACAATAACAAGATTCGTGGCGCCATAGGGAGCTCCACCGAAGGCCCCAGTGGCACCGCCCGCATGCGTCACCACCCGCACCCAATTCGGCACACCCCTCACACGTTTCGTGGCCCCATAGGGAGCTGCACCGAAGGCCCCAGTGGCGGCGCTCACATGCGTCCCCGCCACACATCCCAATACACCCCTCACGCGCTTCGTGGCCTCATAGGGAGTTCCACCGAAGGCCCCAGTGGCGCTTACATGCGTCTCCGCCACCCATCCCGGCACCCCCCCCGCAGCAGCATTATGTTTCGGGGACCCATAGGGAGCTCCACTGGAGGCCCCAGCGGCGGCCCTCACATGCGTTTCCGCCACCCATGTCGGCACGCCCCGCGCGTGTTTCATGTCCCCATAGGGAGCTTCACCGAATGCCCCAGTGGCACCCATCTCGGCACACCCCTCACACGTTCCGTGGTCCTATGGGGAGTTCCACTGAAGATGAAACCCGCAGCTGCGGTACTGACAACTGCATATGGTTGGGTTCTTCGCCAGGCTAATTTTTGTTGTCAGGGATGGTAGCCCTGCGCGCAGCAGGGAATATTCTGACACCCCCGCCGTCCTTATCTGAAACAATACAAAGTGCTGCGGGCTTCACGAACATGACTCAACATTTTACCCCAAACTGTACTTTGCATAGCTGCGCTTGCTCCAAATGTGGAGGCAGAGTGCGGTGTGTATTGTGTTTGGGCAGGGGTGGTGGGAGGCGGGTCGGCATGGTGTCGGCATGGTGTCGGGTTGGCCCCCGGTCGCCTGGGGGAGGGGGTGTATACTAATTAGGAACAGTGACCAAGACACCCTCCTAGATAGCAAGCCGTCTAGCTCACTCCCACCCGCCCTCCCGACACACAAGTAACACCCGAGCCTCAGCATGTCCAGCGGTCGTCTTTGGATGGACAGCTACTGGGAACCAAAACCGAACTCATGTGCGCGACGCTGGGGCGAGGTGCGCCACGCGTGCCAGGCGCGCCACGCGCGCCAGGCACCCTTGGGGCCCGAAAGTGCCAGGCACGCCTGGTGCGCCACATGCGCCAGGTGCCTCCGTGTGCGCCATGTGTGCCGCATACTCCAGCCGCACCAGGTGAGCCACGTCCGGGGCATGTGAAGAGTGTGTCAGGTGCGCCTGCGCACGTGACAGCACACGTCGGAAAACATGTCGCCCCCCTCCATCTTCGTCGGAAACCAATGCCAATCATTGTGTCTGGTGGGCCCTGCGGACAGCAGGCCATACGCCACCACTTGACAGTGATCGCGGGGTGCCCGCGCACGATCCAGATTTAGTCGCGAGGTGCATGTTGTATTTATCCAAGCTATCCTGTGGTGTGGGGTCCTCGTTTTGAAGAGACGGTCCACGCGATTTCCTCTTTCCTTCTTCCTCCCCCCCCCCTTCCTCCTCTTGTCCCTCCACTCACTTTGGTACGCCCCTAAAACGTTCCGTGGCCCCACAGGGAGCTCCACCGAAGGCCCCAGTGCCACCACCCGCATGCGTCACGCACACCCATTTCGGCACACCCCTCACACGTTCCGTGGCACCACAGGGAGCTCCACCGAAGGCCCCAGTGCCACCGCCCGCACGCACCAATCACACCCATTTCGGCACACCCCTCCCACGTTCCGTGGCCCCACAGGGAGCTCCACCGAAGGCCCCAGTGCCACCGCCCGCATGCGTCACGCACACTCATTTCCGCACACCCCTCACACGTTTCGTGGCCCCACAGGGAGCTCCACCGAAGGCCCCAGTGCCACCGCCCGCATGCGTCACGCACACCTATTTCGACGCACCCCATCACACGTTTCGTGGCCCCACAGGGAGCTCCACCGAAGGCCCTAGTGCCACCGCCCGCATGCGTCACGCACACACATTTCGGCACACCCTTCAAACGTTTCGTGGCCCCACAGGGAGCTCCACTGAAGGCCTCAGTGCCACCGCCCGCATGCGACACGCACACCCATTTCGGCAAACACCCCACACGTTCCGTGGCCCCACAGGGAGCTCCACCGAAGGCCCCAGTGCCACCACCCGCATGCGTCACGCACACCCATTCCGGCACACCCCTCAAACGTTTCGTGGCTCCAAATGGAGCTCCACCGAAGGCCCCAGTGCCACCGCCCGCATGCGTCACGCACACCCATGTCCGCACACCCCTCACACGTTTCGTGGCCCGACAGGGAGATCCACCGAAAGCCCCAGTGCCACCGCCCGCATGCGTCACGCATACCCATTTCGGCACACCCCTCATACGTTTCGTGGCCCCATAGAGAGCTTCACCGAGGGCCCCAGTGCCACCGCCCGCATGCGTCATGCACACCATTTCGGCACACCATTCGCACGTTTCGTGGCCCCACAGGGAGCTCCACCGAAGGCCCTAGTGCCACCGCCCGCATGCGTCACGCACATCCATTCCGGCTTACCCCACCCCTCACACGTTTCGTGGCCCCATAGGGAGGTCCACCGAAGGCCCCAGTGCCCATTCCGGCACACCCCTCACACGTTTCGTGGCCCCATAGGGAGTTCCGCCGAAGGCCCCAGTGCCCATTCCGGCACACCCCTCACACGTTTCGTGGCCCCATAGGGAGTTCCGCCGAAGGCGCCAGTAGCTGCGTCCGCATGCGCCCACCGCACTCATTTAAGCACACCCATCACACGCTTCGCGGCACCATAGGGAGCTCCACCGACGGCCCCAGTGGCAGCTTTCGCATGCGCCCACAAGACAAATTTTACACACCTGTCACACGTTTCGTGGCCCTATAGGGAGGTCCTCCAAATGCGGTGCGTTCAAAGACGGGATTCACAAGTGCATATGGCTTGGTCCTTCACCAGACTGATTTTGTGTTTTCAGGGATGGTAACCTTGCGCGCGTCAGGCAATATGCTGACACCCTCGCCGTCCCGGTCAAAAAACAATACAACCTGTTCGCGGGCCCTTCGAACATGACTCCAGATTTTGCCCCAAAATGTTCTTTGTACAGTTCCCAACCATCCTCTGGTGTTGGGTCCTCGTTTTGAAGAGACAGCGCCCCGCGTTCTCCTTCCTTTCTTTCTCCTCCCCTCCCTCTTCGCTTCTCCCGTAAGCCCCCTCCTCACTTTGGCACGCCCCTCACACCTTTCGTGGCCCCAAATGGAGCTCCACCGAAGGCCCCATGCAGTGCCACCGCCAGCATTCGTCACGCACACCCATTCCGGCTCACCCTTCACACGTTTCGTGGCCCCATATGGAGCTTCACCGAAGGCCCCAGTGCCACCGCCCGCATGCGTCACGCACACTCATTTCGGCACACCTTTCACACGTTCCGTGGCCCCACAGGGAGCTCTACCGAAGGCCCCAGTACCACCACCCGCATGCGTCACGCACACCCATGTCGGCACACCCCTCACACGTTTCGTGGCCCCACAGGGAGCTCCACCGAAGGCCCCATTGCCACCGCCCGCATGCGTCACGCACACCTATTTCGGCACACGCCTCCCACGTTCCGTGGCCCCACAGGGAGCTCCACCGAAGGCCCCAGTGCCACCGCCCGCATGCGTCACGCACGCCCACACACCCCTCGCACGTTTCGTGGCCCCACAGGGAGCTCCACCGAAGGCCCCAGTGCCACCGCCCGCATGCGTCACGCACACACATTTCGGCACACCCCTCACACGTTTCGTGGCCCCACAGCGAGCTCCACCGATGGCTTCAGCTCCACCGCCCGCATGGGTCACGCACAGCCGTTTCGGCACACCCTTCAGACGTTTCGTGGCCCACAGCGAGCTCCACCGAAGGCCCCAGTTTCACCGTCTGCATGTGTCACGCACACACACTTCGGCACTCCCCTCACACGTTTCGTGGCCCCACAGGGAGCTCCACCGAAGGCCCCAGTGCCACCGCCCGCATGCGTCATGCACACACACACACACATCACACGTGCCGTGGCCCCACAAGAAGCTCCACCGAAGGCCCCAGTGCCACCGCCTGCACGCGTCACGCACACCCAGTTCGGCATACCCTTCACACGTTTCGTGGCCCCAAAGAGAGCTCCACCGAAGGCCCGCAATGCCACCTTCCGCATGCGTCACGCATATCCATTTCGGCACACCTCTCACACGTTTCGTGGCCCCACAGGGAGCTCCACCGAATGGCCCCAATGCCACCGCCCGCCCGCATGCGCCACGCACAGCCATTTCGGCACACCCCTCACATGTTCCGTGGCCCCACAGGGAGCTCCACCGAAGGCGCCAGTGGTTGCGTTCACATGCGCCCACCGCACCCATTTCGGCACACCCCTCACACGTTCCGTGGCCCCACAGGGAGCTCCACCGAGGGCCCCATCTATTTCGGCACACCCATCATACGTTTCGCGGCCCCATTCCAACGAAGGCCCCAATGGTTGCATTCGCATGCGCCCACCGCACCTGTTTCGGCACACCTCTCACGCTGTTCGTGGCCCCAGAGGGAATTCCGCCGACGGCCCCAGTGGCTGCTTTCGAGTGCACCCGCCGGGCAAATTTTGGCACACCCCTCACACGTGTCGTGGCTCTATAGGGAGCTTCCGAATGCGGTGCGTTCCACGACGGCATTCACAATTGCATATGGTTGGGTGCTTCGCCAGGCTCATTTTTCAACAGTGATTGTGGGGGGGCCCTCATGGGGTCCTCATTGGTCCTGGTTGCCTGCCGGTCGCCTGGGGGAGGGGGTGTATATTAATACGGGACACTGATGAACCCAGCCCGGAAGGGGGAGACGGGGGTTGGAAGAGAAACCGCTCTAGACCACCTGCGCCCGAGAGGGCTGGGGTGACTGGGACGCGGTGTCGCATTTGCGCAGCGTCGTTTGAATACACGTTTTTTTTATTGCGTGCGGGGCGCAACGCTGCGCCCGCGCCACTAGCCTGACGGTGCGAGCTTCACACCATCTTCAGGCTATGGAGGCTGAATGTTTAATGACCTGCCTAACTCAGGACGGCGCTGTCTCTTCAGGCCAGCGCCTCAATATTATCCTTATGTTTATTCTCCTCTCTTTTCACATTCGTCTCTCTCTCACTCTCGAACGACAAGCTGGTGTTGGATATTTATTTCGGTGGCCCGCTCCAGGGACGCGCTCTCCAGCCCCCCGTTGTTTGAAACGCTTTTACTGCGTACTCCTAGACATTTCGCACGGCTTTTCTGCCTGGCCTTGCCGGGCCGCAGTATTTTGGCACTCCGCGTGAGTCCCTGTCCGTCCCTTCTCCCATTCCTAGTCCCCCCGCCCCTTCCTTCCCCCCGCCCCCTCCTCCTCCTCCTCCTCCTCCTCCTCCTCCTCCTCCGCCTCCTCCTCCTCCTCCTCCTCCTCCTCCTCCTCCTCCTCCTCCTCCTCCCCCCGCCCCCTCCTCCCCCCGCCCCTCCCCTCCTCCTCCTCCTCCTCCTCCTCCTCCTCCTCCTCCTCCTCCTCCTCCTCCCCCCGCCCCCTCCTCCCCTCTCCTCCTCCTCCTCCTCCTCCTTCCTCCTCTCCTCCTCCTCCTCCTCCCTTGGAAGAGAGTTGAGGAAGTTATTCGTAAAGTTCAAGATCAGTTGGACAAAGGAACAGCATGCTCGATCCAAGGTCTCCCGTGGAGATGTGGACAGCAGCGCCAAGGAGGACCCTAAGGGAAACGAGTGCATCCCGACGGTCGCGCTGCATGAGGGTGACTGGTCCGTGCAGGTAACGCAGGAACCGCAGAAGAAGGCAGACAACACCATTGAGAGCACCATCAGCCTCCACGACCCCTGTATGGCAAGCGAATGGTGCTCGATCCTTGCTGGAAGCCGCCAGCAGATGCCCATCGCGATGATCGGACTTGGCGAGCCCGACGCGAACTACCCCAATACCCCACTGCAAGTACCTGTGCTACGTATTGGCGCTGGTGGGGGCAAGCCAAAGAAGACATTCATGAAAGGTGCCGTCTATCAGTTTGGACAAACGGACGTGGTCTGCCAGGCCAACGTTGCGACAATGCAAGCCTTGCAGGAGGACCAGCTCGCTGCCACCCGTCGTATCACGATATATGAGACGGGCGCTGTCCAGGCAAATCCGAGCATCGGCCAGTTGTTTGAAGCGCAGTTCACAGGAGCTGCCCCGATTCTGACACATCAAGGCCCGAGAGATCGCGTTGGAGGAGACAAACACCAGAGGTACAAGCACTACAAGAGGTCGGAGGCGAAGATAGCCCTGGATGAAACGTTGAGGGGCGCCTTTGAGACGATCATCAAGACGGTCAAGCCTGGAGCCCAGCTGTTGGAGCCACCGTCCCGAATGATAAGAACTGGATCGAGCGACGCTGTCACATCGACGAGAGGAGGACGCACGTTGACAGCCACCTTCGTGGTGGCAAAAGGCGAAGCCCCAGCGTATCTCAGGCTGCCGGGATTCAAGGGCATCACCTTCGTGAATTCTTACATCGGCAACGCGGAGCAGGCCGAGATAGACAAGAACGGGACCTTTGTGATATTGCTGCCCTCTTCCACGGCAACCCTGCACGAGGCCTCTGAGATTGCTTGCCATCAAGTATGAGGGCCGCCAGGGAGGGATGCGCAGCGATCGGAGGTCGGCGGGCGTCCGCATGTCAAGGATCTCGCCAAAGGCCAAGGAGATTGCTTTGGAGGCACGATGCAACACAGCGAGTTTAGCACGCCAGCGTTTCCGCATAGACCACGTTCCAGCCAACATGGCCTCAAAGGGTCAGGTCAAGAGAGTGACCGAAAGTCTCAAGTGGAGTTGTGATATCATCAACGTCGCCTACGACAACCGTGGGCAGAGCCACTGCGCCGTTGCTAAGACAGACGCCCCACCCCAGAGCATGTGCTGGAGAGTTGGTACAGCAGTGCAGCCGTGGGTGGTCACAGCGCTGATCGACAAGCCGAAAGCCCAGGTGGAAGGGGCGCCCCCTGCGATTGTCTTGGCGGAGGAGCTCGCCGCGGCGAAGATCAAGGCTACGCCACCGCAGACAAAGCCCCCCGCACAGGGTCCAAGAGCAGCAGCGGCGGCACCACCAGCTGCCACAGGCGGGCCATCATGGCTCACCAACCTTCGGGCTGCTGGCACGACGGCGCCGCCCTCATCGGGGCCGTCGACGGAGCCCGCGGCGCAGGGTCCCAACGGGGGGAACATGCAGGTGGACGCGCCCGCGCCCGTCACAGCGGTGCTGCCACAACAAGCCAACGACCGCATCAGCACGCTGGAGCGCAACTTCGCCGACCTCCAGAAGCAGGCCAGGATGCAGAAGGAGACCGCGGACGCGACAAATACGAAGATCCACCAGTTGTCGGAGACCGTTGCCACCCAGGGCCAGGCGATTGCTACAGCTGCGACTCGTTTGGAAGGTATGGCGGGGCTCCAGACTGGCACCCCAGCGATCGCGAAGAAGCTGGGTGTGCAGAAGCCAGAGGCAGAAGCTGAGGGAGCGCCAGCTCAAAAGACCCCGCGTACTGGAGAGGACACCGCCCGCTAGGGGTGCCCAAGAAAGTCCTGCCCGAACTTCTGTTGGGAAGTCAAGGCGAAAGCCCGCGGACGAATATCCAAAGGAGTACCGTGCCAAGCCTCAAGCGAGGAAGACGCTGCCCCCCAGTACTACTACGACTACAAGTACCCCGGTGGCCGCGAGAATTTTGAAGAGTCTGCGAAGTTGCCCATATACAACCATGGTGGCGAGCGGGGAGGCCATCATGCAGACGTGGGCGGCTTCGATCCAACCTACCTGAACCTATGCGAGAGTGTTGGGGACGTGGCAAGACTACCTCCACACTATCCGAGTGGGGGCAGCGTGAACTTGACGAGCGGGGCGGCCAGGAGAATGCCAAGCGGATAATGTCGGAATCTTGCCACAACAAGGACAAGAAGATGCCGTCGGACCAGGCCCTGGGCTGCTGCGGAGACGACATCCACAACCACGCATCTCTTGGTGCCACCGAACCGACCTCAGGGGCTGCTGCTTCATGAGCTAGGGGCGGCGCCTCCACGACAGGGCAACTACGACGCGACGGAGCGGACGGACCAGGCCACTTTGTGGAGCGGCTGTCACAGAAGCGCACAATATATCATGGACCCAAACCGCCGAGCGGCCACGGCGAGGCGGGGGGAGGGGGGAGCGACGGCCAGCTCCTGCGTCTCCCAGGGGGGGCCGTTGGCCGATACTCAGCCCCCTTCGGGAACGCCGGGCCCAGTGTCGACTGACGGCCCCCAAGATGACGAGTAGGACACTGAATCTATGCAAGAGCGGCGGGGGCGTCTCTGGCAAGCCCACCTCCACGCTATCCGATCGGGGGCAGCATGATCTTGACGAGTGGGATGGCCAGGGGACTGCCAAGCGGATAATGTCGGAGTACTACCACAACAAGGAAAATAATATGACGCTGTACCAGGCCCTGGGCTGCTGCGGAGACGACGTCTACAACCGCGATCACCTTTCGGTACCACCAAATCGACCTGAGGGGCTGCTGCTTCATGGGCTGGGAGCGGTGTTACCACGAAAGGACAACTACGACACGACGGAGCTGACTGACCAGGACACTTTGTGGAGTGGCCGTCACAGGGCACAAGATATCATGGATCCAAACCGCCAAGCTGTCGCGGCGAGGCGGGGGGGGGGGGGCGACGGCCAGCTCCTGCGCCTCCCAGGGGGGGCCGTTGGCCGATCGTCAGCCTCCTTCGGGAACGCCGGGCCCAGCGTCGACTGACGGCTCCAAAGATGACGAGTAGAAGATTGTGGATATATATATATGCTTTGCATGATACCTCAGCTGGCCCTTGCGCTTCAAGCAGGTCTGCGCCGTGAGCATCGCGACGCAATCCATGGTGATGGGCCACAGCGAGGTGAACAACATCGTTTTCTTCTACTAAATGTTACTGCCCTGGCTGCGCACTGGGGGCTCATTGATGCACTACTGGATAGAAACATCCAAGTCGCAGCTTTGCCGGAAACCAGGCGCACAAATGCTCAGACGGCGGAGTATGACAGACGGTTGCGCACCCTGGGTCGGCAAGCTGCTTGGGGCCAGGGACTACCACCAAAGACTTTTACGAAGGCCCCCATCCCAAGGCAAACACGAACATGTCGTATGTAGCCAAGCTGCGGAAAATGGAGGAGTTGGCATTTTCGCACCTGTCAACTCCCGCTCGTAAAGACAAAGGCCCACGACTACCACGCTAAGACGCTTTACGACACGCAACGCTGGACGGAAGTTGTAATTCCTTCCGAAGGCGGTCGAGGAATTTTTACCGCTTCACTTTATGGCAAGTCCGATGCGGAAATTGAAGGACTGTTTCGGCTTGCACTTCAAGCAGCATGAGCGGCACCATATTACATTTGCATGGATGCTCAGATTCAGTGGACAGAGTCAGACACTTTGGCATGGTCTATCCAGTCAGGCGAGTGGCACAATAGGGCAGCACGACCACCACATGAGTTTAAACGGGCTTATGGCCGAGACAAAGATTGGGACCTAACAGCGCCTGAAGAAAATACCTCTCCGATTGATTATGTTATATGCAACGCGGCGGGGCATCAAGTGCCTCAGAGATTCCGTCTCCTACGTGACCTGCCGTGCCCAGGGCGCCTAGGCCTCGAGATCACATTGCGCATTCCCGCCTTCAAGACGCAGGTAAGAAGATGGAAGCGACCAGTGCCTTACCCAGTTGGAGACGCCACCATGCCAAAAGAAGAAGGGGAAGCACTGGGTGCCCACCTGGTCACGCAGCATCAACAAGAGCTACTACGAGCACGAGCTGACCGCGACATTGACTTGCATCTTGACGCTGCAATCAAGATCGCGGAAAAGTTTCTCGCCCATACATGTCAAGACATTCTTCATCATGCTACGGATGGACGTGGAAGGTTTCCTACCTTTGTCGGGGGCATGGCCGCACCTCAAACCATTGAGCATGGTGCTCGGACTCGGGCGACATGGAAACTTTGCAAGATAGATCAGCGACTTCATGAATCTGTAGTAAAGACACGGCGCATTGAACTACGAGGCGCACCCACGTGCACAGAGGACGGCAGACAATGGTACCGACTGTGGGGCAACATATGCACGGACGTAAAGAAAATGACACCTGAAATTTCTACCTGGGAGGGATGGTGGAACGCGCTGTGCCCGATTTGCGCTGAAGACGCCCAGGTAGCCAAGCGTGCCCTTAGCGGGGAGCTCAAATTCTGGCAGACCCAAACGGCAAAGCAACGCACGCGGCATTATATAGATCGAGTCAAGACGCATGCGAAACACCACGGCAGCTACACTAGCGCTTGGGTCAAGCCGCTCCAGCAGGCGCCGACC